AAGTTTCAGTTTCGCCAGCACAAGAATCTAAAGGGCACTTTACTCATGACCACGACCTTTCGCGCTCGCAGTCTATGTCATTAATCACGACTTCTGGACCTTGGATCGACTCAGAATTGCATATCTGAGTTGCGCTAGCCTAGCACAAGTCAGCATAAGCTGTATCTTATACACATCTAGATGTGTATAAGATACAGCTTATGCTGACTTGTGCTAGGCTAGCGCAACTCAGATATGCAATTCTGAGTCGATCCAAGGTCCAGAAGTCGAGATTAATGACATAGACTGCGAGCGCGAAGGGCCGCGGTCAAGAGTAAAGTGCCCTTTAGATTCTTGTGTTGGCGAAACTGAAACTTATGCTGACTTGTGCTAGGCTAGCGCAACTCAGATATGCAATTCTGAGTCGATCCAAGGTCCAGAAGTCGAGATTAATGACATAGACTGCGAGCGCGAAGGGCCGCGGTCAAGAGTAAAGTGCCCTTTAGATTCTTGTGTTGGCGAAACTGAAACTTATGCTGACTTGTGCTAGCCTAGTACAAGTCAGCACAAGCTTTAGTTTCGCCAGCACAAGAATCTAAAGGGCACTTTACTCATGACCACGACCTTTCGCGCTCGCAGTCTATGTCATTAATCACGACTTCTGGACCTTGGATCGACTCAGAATTGCATATCTGAGTTGCGCTAGCCTAGCACAAGTCAGCATAAGTTTCAGTTTCGCCAGCACAAGAATCTAAAGGGCACTTTACTCATGACCACGACCTTTCGCGCTCGCAGTCTATGTCATTAATCACGACTTCTAGACTTTGGATCGACTCAGAATTGCATATCTGAGTTGTGCTAGCTTAGCACAAGTCAGCACAAGTTTCAATTTTGCCAGCACAAGAATCTAAAAGGCACTTTACTCTTGACCGCGGCCCTTCGCGCTCGCAGCCTGTCATTAATCACGACTTCTAGACTTTGGATCGACTCGGAATTGCATATATGAGTTGTGCTAGTCTAGCATAAGTCAGCACAAGTTTCAATTTCGCCAGCACAAGAATCTAAAGGGCACTTTACTCTTGAACGCGGCCCTTCGTGCTCGCAGCCTGTCATTAATCACGACTTCTAAACTTTGAATCGACTCAGAATTGCATATCTGAGTTGTGGTAGCCTAGCACAAGTCAGCACAAGTTTCAGTTTTGCCAGCACAAAAATATTAAAGGTATTTTATTCTTGATTTTCGCAACTTCTCGCACGCGCAACTTGATTGATCAGGATAATATTAAATTACACAAAAGTAAAGAAGATATCTCTCTTTGTTGTGCATTTGTTTTCAGCACGTATGCCGTTCGACCGCGTCAAGGTGGAGATTATCGGAACGGTTTTTTTTGTATTTTTTTGTTTTTTGTATTTTTTGTTTTTTTTTTATTTTTTATTTTTTTATCTTTTTTTACATGTTTTTGTTATTTTTTGTTATTTTTTGTTATTTTTTGTTTTTTTTGTATTCTAAAATTTTTGTCGTTTTCGTTTTAATATTTTTTATTTTATATTGCTATAAAATCATCTGCTTTATGTTAAAATTACTGTTTTATTTTATTAGTACATAAGCATTAGTTTTTGCTAGTTATTAAATTTTCACTATATAATAATATAATATTATATAATAATATTATATACTATATACTATATACTATATACTATATAACATACTATATAATAATATAATATAATGAAAATTTAATAACTAGCAAATGCTAATGCTTATGTACTAATTATATAAAATAGTAATTTTAACGTAAAGCAAATGATTTTAGAGTAAT